GTTGACCAACTGAGAAATGAACTAGCACAGCTCGGTTTAGGCTTCAGGCCAGGTGAGTATCTTGTGTTGGCAGAATATCTCAGAGCTGACCTTTTGACATACAGATATGCCTCAACCTCAGCACTCATCGGGACCGTTCATAGTCCCTCCAGTGCCTCCAGTCACAGGACCCATGGGACAGCCACATCTGGTCAGTGGCCAATATCCAGGTGGATTTGTACCCCTTGGGCCGATGCAAGGGGGACTAGTACCTCCTGTCATTGCTCAAGATCGTACACCGACCCCTTCTTATACTCCTGTAATACCCTCTCCTGTCATGGGAATGCCTGGCGTCCACCATGTGCCTGTCGTTCCAGACTTTTCGTCGTACACTCCACACCATCAAGTTCAGGGCCCGGATCATTATGTTTACGAGCCGTCTGCATATACCGGAGGCCCGTCTGCATATACTGGAGGCGTGATACCATCACCCCAGTCAGATTCCGCCACCTATGAACCAATGCCAGCAGTCATCATTAACCCGCCTCCACCACAAATACAGCAGCAGCAGCAGCAGCCAATAACTTCGACCTATTTCGTTCCACCCTCGCCATCTCACTCTAGGTCTGGCAGTACGACTAGCACTCAGCAGAGCTATGATCACCCTCCCATCCCTATACCGCCTCATAGTGGGCAGGATCGCCAGGAGGGCTTAGCCGACGCCCCCCAGCCCCCCGTTCCTGCAGCTGACTTGCCACATCCTAGTCAAGCTAGACAAGAGAGTGTTTCTGAGCCGGTGACCACCGTTATTATCAATCAAGCACCACCTCCTGCCCCTGGAGCAGTCCCTGGAGCAGTCCCTGAAGCAGTCCCTGGAGTCGTGCAAGGAGCCGCCCCAGGAGGTACACTACCCCAAGCTGGCGTTCCTGGGCAATATATATCTCCTCCTCCTGCTATCATCATAAATCCACCCCTCCAACAGATTCCTGGAGGCCCACCAATTGTTATTGGGAGAAGTCCTCATTCGAGGCCTAGTTCTAGGGGGACATCAGGGGGACATCCCACAGTGATTGTGCAAAGAAGTCGCTCCTCGTCGTCTTCGCCTCGACAAGCTCCAGCTCATATTGTAATAACTTCAAGTGGTGGTAGGCATCCAGAGCACGATACGCCATATATTGTAATGCAGTCACCTTCTCATGGTTCTCACGTTCATTTACCTGAACGAGAATACGGTGATCCAGGCGATCGACGACCTGCTCCGAGCGAACTAGGATTTCCCGACCCAGGGCATGTTCCCTCAACAAGCCGACCATATGAAGGACATCGCCGTCGCCATGACCGTCACGACTCTCGTTCCTACTCCCCACGCCGTCGTGACTCCCGTGATTACTCGCCATCTGGCAGGCCCTATCGTCCGTCACATAGGGACAGGTATTACAGGGATGATAGGTCGAGATCGAGGTCTTACTCTCCCATTGGCCGTCGTAGGCGTCCTCGCGGACACGATTATGGACGTTCGCGTCGCGATTCATATTCCCCAGATGATCTCGGGGAGCGGGACACGGGCCATGGTCGTCGCCCTCGTGGATCCAGGCGTGATGACGAATCTCGTTATGACCCGGAAGATGTTGGGGAGCGAGATACAGGCCACGGGCGTCGCCTTCGTAGGACCAGGCGTGATGACGAGTCCCGTTATGATCCGGAAGATGCTGGGGAGCGAGATACAGGCCATGGCCGTCGCCTTCGTGGATCCAGACGTGATGATGAGTCTCGTTATGACCCGGAGGACGCTGGGGAGAGAGACACAGGCCATGGCCGTCGCCCTGGTGGAACCAGGCGTGATGACGAATCTCGACATGACCCGGAGGACGCTGGGGAGAGAGACACAGGCCATGGCCGTCGCCCTGGTGGAACCAGGCGTGATGACGAATCTCGACATGACCCGGAAGACGTTGGGGAGAGAGATACGGGCCATGGTCGTCGTCCTCGTGGATCCAGGCGCGATGATGAATCTCGCTATGACCCGGAAGATGTCGAAGAGAGAGATACGGGCCATGGCCGTCGCCCTGGTGGAACCAGGCGTGATGACGAGTCTCGTTTTGATCCGGAAGACGCTGGGGAGAGAGATACGGGCCATGGTCGTCGTCCTCGTGGATCCAGGCGTGATGACGAATCTCGTTATGACCCGGAAGATGTCGAAGAGAGAGATACAGGTCATGGCCGTCGCCTTCGTGGATCCAGGCGTGGTGAGGGATCTCATTATGACCCGGAAGATGTCGAAGAGAGAGATACGGGTTCCCGCCATCCTCGTGGACGTGCCTCCTCACCTGGATTTTCAGAACATGATCCAGATAGCCCAGTTTTACATAGACCTCCGCCATCTGGTCATGGAGACTACGTGATCCGTCGTCCATCAACTCGGCTCCCCCCTCCCCCCCAGTCTCCTCAACCACCAACTATCATTAGACTTGGAGATCCTGTTCATCACCCGGAAATCGTGGTACATTCCCCTCCACAGTCTGGAGTCCACCCAGGTGATACATACATTCCCGACTTCACTCCCGCTGTTGAGCATCCTCCAGAGTCCGAATACGCCGTTCCACATCCTCACCACACAGGAGCATCTCACGGTATACCTCCTGGCTCAGTTTTTGAGGATGCTCCTCGACACCGCCCGATCAGTGAAACTAGTGTGGTACCTATCCCAGTTCCTCATGTGCAAACTGGACCAGGTGACCTAGCCTTTGAAGATGCCTTGCGTGATCATCACCAGCGGCTCGATGATGCAGAAAAACAGCTCACAGAGGTTGCGCATCAGGCTTTGGAGAATGAAGATCGACGCGAGGACATGTTTCGTCAGAACGAAGACGAACGCGAACGTGTATTTTTGGGCAACGAGACCAGAAGAGAACAAGAATCTCAGCAACGAGCCGATGAAATTTTCAGACATCTCGAGGAACGTGTCGCTGGCATCCCGCTTCCCCCATCCGGGCCTGCTGCTGCTGAGCCAGCTCCTTCTATCATCGAATCTCTTCATAGTGCTGCGCAAGATGCTGCCTCGCGACATGCTTCAGACATCCTCGATACTGTTAGACTGGAACGAGAAGAGTTGATCAGAGAGAGAGAAGCGGCTGAAGCTGAGCGTCAACGCTACCAAGCTGAGATGGAGGCCGAACGAAGTCGGTTGGACGCAGAGCGTGAGGCCAGGATTCAAGCTCTAGAAGAAGAACTCGCCAAAGTCCGTGGAGAGTTGGAAAACGAGAAGCAGATGCGCGTTACAGAAGAAGCGGATATGATGAATCGGGAAAGACAAGAAGCACAGGACCGAGACGATGGGCTCCGGAATCAGCTATCAGATATTACTAATATCGTACAAGAGCAACGCGACACTTGCGATCGGGAAAATGAAGCAAGGCGAGCGAGATGGGAGGAGGATGACACTGACAAGAGGATGAAGAATGAGCTATTAGAAACTCTTCGTAGCCTGGCCTCTAAGCTTGTAGATGACGCCGACAAAAAGAAGGAGGAGGAAGAACGAGCGGCTGCTGAAGGCAAACCTGGTGAGTCTATCCTATCGTTACTGTGTATGGTCAGCCTCTTATCAAGTAACAGGAATCGAAGAAGTAATGGAGGAACTTCGGAGACAGAGCGCAGAACAGAGAGAGCTCCTGATGAACTTGTCTGAAAGTAAGTGCACACCCATGGAAGATTAGATAAACCTCCTAATCGACTCCCCCAAGGCTGGCGATCCGATAGCAATAGGCAACACGAGGAGACGATTAATGCTGTAAGAGCTACCGCTCAGGAGCAAGTTCCTTTCAATGTGCAAGGAGTAGGTCGCTGTCATACAAACTGAATGGTATCACACTTAACCGTCCTTGTAGTATCTTGATGAATTTAGTAAAGCTCTGGCTTCGGAAGTGCGCATGTTACTTGGGGAAGTAGGCAAACTGCGCGAAGAAAGAAGGAATATGCAACAGTACGTCCCCTAGCCAGTCTCCTCAAATAGCACCGTTAAATTTTTTTCGCTCACGTAGTGAGATTGGCTTCTTGTTGAGCATGAGGGCGAAATACGCCCCTGGAGGCGAATTCGATCCGGAATGGTTTGTTTCTTCCGACTAATTCCAGCGTACTATTTCTCAAATTCTGCCTTTTCAGGAAACCACCAGCGACGGGTCCCCCTGCTGATGCACCTCCTCCAGAACCCCCTGCTCCCCCCGAAGAGCCTGCACCCGCTAGACCGGCATGGCGCACGGTAACGCAACGAACACGAAAAATCAGGAAGAGACAGGAAGCTGCTCCACCTGCTCAGCCTCCGGCTCCTGATCCTAGGCAACAAGTCACTTCGTGGGCGACGTGGCATCGTAAGTGATGGTTGTGTATGGTCATTCGTATATGACGATGCTGATGATTGGATTATAGCTGATCCTGCCCTGGCTCCTACGCCTCCATCCATCGAGGCTAATTTGATCGTTCCCGATAGAGGCAGTCCTGGTCTCTTTGGACCTAGGTCACCGCGCGATTCGTATCGGTAGAAGATTTCGCTTTGGCTGTCACGACTTTTTTTTGATGTTACACTCGTTTTGATCTATGCATTTATATCTACTGAATTATGCACTGGAGTATGATACCATGACTTTCTCTTTCTCTCTCACTTTTCACATTGACTGCTTGCTTTCTGACGTTGCTCTTTTTCTTATGATCAATTTATGATTTTATCTTATCGCCTGAAATATGTTTAACCTTATCTTACAACCCGTAACGACCTGTTCATGAACACTTGTTTGAATTGCATTTGTTTTTTTTGCTCTTACATGATGCGATAACTAATGTCAGACTGAGGAATTTTCCAGTGCAGTGGTCACAAAACCGAAGCAGATTGAGCGGACAGGATGTACAGGGTGAAACGAAATGCATTTATGGTAATGCATGATCACTGAAGATGCTATCATTATGTAGCCATTGGCCACAAGTGACGCAGCGAGCGATGAAATCTATATTAAATGCGTATGTCTCGGTGGCTAGCTGCGCGGCTCCACTGCTGCAGTCTCCTCTAGTAAACGCTTTAGCTTGAGTGCCAGTCCGTCAGTGAGTTGAGTTGGGCCATCGACGGTGCATAAACGGTAAGAGGGCATGGCTTGGTACATTTCGGGTTGGATCTAGGAGAGCGTTTAACGAGAGGGGAGGAGTGTGTTGCTTCGAGAAACATTACCTTGCTGTCCTCCACCAAGAGAGAAGCCAAGATGTCATCCGGGTCGCCGACGCGTCCGAGTGCTGGGACGTTCCTTTCGTCTTTCATCACCACGAAAAAAAATGATGAGGGTTGTTAGCCCCCATAACAATCACAATGCGAAGAGAGGAAAGTGTTGGGGGAGAACTTACCGTGGATGTGCATCCAGCCGATTTGGAGCTGCAAGGCTCCGTTGATCTGGATGTCGTCTGCTCCCTCCCGCAAGCCGGTCTGGATAGCCCGATGGAGCACCGCGCGGAATTTTGCTGTGATATTTGTGGGGCATGAAAAAAAGTGCATGGAAGTCGAGCAGAGATTAGAATGCAAGTCTAAGTCAGCCATATACAAAGCATGACAATATCCATTTTCCAGGAGAAGTATTCCATTAGTCAGTCAATAGTCACAGAACTACACCATCATGAGATAGCACACTAACTTATGGTGAATGGGTGATAACTTAGCTCGACAGCACTGTTTCAGGGAGATACATTAGCCCCCGATAAATCGCGCTGTCCACCCCTGCCATGATAAAGTGCTAAACAGTAAAGCGTCAGTAGAGAGCTTCTCAATTCCACGATGTGCTGGTTAAGGCTAAAACCTAGTACGTGCATCAAAGTTTTAGGGTGTGTGGAATTGATAGGTTGAACGAATCTTACCCCGTTCAAACTTGACTTCAAATCTGGAATGCTGTCGATACAGGCTATACGTTTATGCGAGGCTGCGCTGATGAATCAAGACGCGTCATGATCCCAGCTAGCGGCACAAGCACAGGTACACCAAGCTGACGTCTCGGTGTATTGCGACAATTGCTTTCGTCCATTGACAGCTGATATCGCTGACACTGGAATCAGATATTTCCATGCGCAATTAACGGTAGGGGAGTAACCGAAGTGAAATACACGTTGCTTGGGCGCTAAGGAGATGACCACGAACCGTCATCAGTGATAGTGTCCATCATGATAATGAGAATCTTCCCCTGATTTGGAAGGAGAGATACTTACAATCGTGACTCATGCGATGTGAGGGTGAAGGGCAAAATATTCCCTACAGTAACCGTGATTTGACACGTCCGAGTCATACCTTCCCGCAGACCCCTGACTGGCTACGATGCTATTTGTTCACTGAGGGCCTCTGTAAACGAATCAGTGTTCTATGACTATGGGTTGATGTAATGAATGCTCGACTATTTCAGTCCATCGAGTCGATTGAGATGTCTGATGATGGTGACGTTATACGAGGGATTTGCTCTGATATGTATACCAGGCCACTTGTTCAAAAGCTGTGTGCCGCTCCATTGATTTACAGGTGACCGGTGAAAAGTTCAAGGTTATTTTTTTGGTAGCACGACCCAAGCACTACTCGGTTGATAATTTATCTTCTGGGTTTGAAGTGCACTGGCCATTGAAAGCGAGTATTCAGACTGTCATTCAAGCATGGACCCCAGGAGAATGATTGGTGTAGGGTGTACTGGATTACTTGCACCGAGTCCGAACACAGGATGTTCAAGTTGCCCATATGTAGACATCGTGAACATTCTCACGGCAATTTACTGGACGTTTATGGGTGCTTATGGGCGCTTATGTACGAGACATGTGTAGTACACGAGCTTGTTAGAAGTTTGATTTGATAGACTGTCATATCATAGCATTGCCAGCGCCATTGAAGACGGTCAGACCCTCTGGAACTTGAAACACCCTCAGCCCTTACAGCCCTCACCAGCTACAGATTAAAGATGGGTTCAGGTCGTTTTTCTCTTATTCTCCATAACATCTACTCGACTCTTTTTCGACCACCAATGTCTCGTCCAAAAGACATCGTAGGCCTATTCCAGCCCGGACTTTTTGGGCCAGTGGGACCTGAGTCATGGGGATCCATTCTTCTCCTGGTCGACGAAACTTCACGATGCTACATCGACCGTATTGTGTTCTGTAAATGCAAAAAAGACAAGAAACATGAGTTCTTGTTGATTCACGTTCGTCGTCACACCATCACAGGCGCTCAAAAAGCGTTTATAGTCGTCGACCGCGCACCTCGCGCACCGGAAGGCAACAATGCATCTGTTCAGTCACCACCTGCCTCGGGCATTGCATCTCCTTCGGTTTCTGATACTACTGCCGATGACCGCGTATCTTCACCAAAGAAGACGATAAAACGGAGTTGACTAAACCGTATAAACCATACAGGGAGCTCTGTACCCTTACATTCTCCGAGTCTTGTCCCTCCAATATCACCGGAAATTATTTATCGCCTTCTGTTCGGCAGCTATGCATCCTGTTGAAAGTCATCAACAAACACGCCCCGCTCTACAATCTTTATGAGCACCAATGCTACTGGTTTGCCAATACCGTGTTCGACATGTTGAAGAAACTATTTCCAAATGCAGAGGAGAAGTGTAGTTCACACGACATACGCGGCAACTATCACGGGTTGAAATTCGACCATCGTAACAGTATAGAGACGATAACTGAAGAATATAACACGTCATGGCGCGAGGCGTGTGACAGGTGAGGGAGGAACAGAGAAAACAAGAAGAAACTCGACGTAAAGTGAGTAACTCTCGCTGGGAGAGACGAAGGTAATGCGGAACGAGAGCAACTCAAGGCTGAAAGTGCACGCCAACGAGAGCAACTCGAGGCTGAAAGTGCACGCCAACGAGAGCAACTCGAGGCTGAAAGTGCACGCCAACGAGAGCAACTCAAGGCTGAAAGTGCGCGCCGCGACGCTGAAAGACTGGCTGAAATAGCCCAGCTCAAAGCCAGACTACGTGAATACGAAGACTGTCAGCCTGACAATGCGGCGGCCCCGGCCTGAAGAAGGGATGTCAAGTTTGTTCGTGAGTCCATTTGAGCATTACTACTTTCAAAACTAACAAGGATCTGTATCACAGTCGTAGCCAGGAAGACAGCAAAGCTGTCAAACATGCCATATCTTTCCTATTATTTATTTTCACAGAGCGGAATCTATGACTCGTCATCGTTAACATGTCCATGTATATTTTAGTACACTGTTTCAGGTGTAGGTACCGTGCCAGGCCTCTAGTGTAGTTAAATCATCGCGACGGTTCGAAAGCGGGTAGTTTGATAGTGCCACTTAGACTCCCATGCTGCTATGTTATAACGATCCCCAGATAGTTGCCAAATGTTTATGGAGGATGTCGCTGCGAATAATGACAAAGAAATCTATAATCATGATTCCGACGGCCTCACCGTGGTCCGTAATAACCGTTTCCCGAGTCCTGTGGAAGATCTTGCGACTCTCTTCTTCCATCCTCGTGAGCATCGCAGGCTTCGCTGCCAAAAATTCCATGGTTATATCGTAAAATGCATTCTATGACAAGGCCCATATGATGCCTCGTGATCTCCATCCGAACATACACCGTGATCATCCAGCACTTGTGATCTCTTTTTACCTGCCAGCTATATAAATGGAGGTGGAAGGAGCGGCAGCGTTCTCGAGGGTCTCTCATCTGCTCTCTTCTGAAATGCTCAACGTCGCCCTTTTTCTTCTGGGCTTGGTGTTCAGCAGCGACGTGCTCGCGTCCTCTTCTTCGTCCGGATCAGCGCCCAACATTGTCGATGTCGGCTATGCGAGCTATCTGGGAAACCAGTCGTATCCCAACACGGTAGCCTACCTGGGCATTCCCTATGCCGAGCCTCCCCTGGCCGAATTACGATGGCGCGCACCGCTGCCTCTGAACACGACTCGCATCTCCCAAGAATCAAACAGACAGGTCATCAATGCCACCACGTACCCCATGTTCTGTGTCCAAGGTTCCATCGGAGGTATGTCCTGACGCGCCGCGTTCCCGTGTGTGTGGTTCTTGACCGGTGGCAGGTGGGGATCACGGAGGAGCTGGCTCGGAAGATTGTCTCAAAGTGAATATCTACGCACCTGCTGGAGCGAAGGAAGGAGATAACCGTGCGTGCGTCCTTGCCGTTCGCTTTGTCTCCGATGCTTAATCCAGAGGGCATACCGTAGTGCCTGTCCTGCTTTATATACATGGTGGAGGTACGTTGTATTGCTCGCATCGATGAGGCAGGTTTAATGATGTATACATTGAACTAAGGCTACGTCTACGGAAACCCACGCAATTGGCCATTTGACCCCTGGATCAACCAGAGTCCAAACATTGTCATCGTGTCCGTCTACTACCGCCTCGACTCCTTCGGCTTCCTGTCCCACCCCGACTTTGTGGACGCCTCCATAGGCGACTTCAACGGCCAGAGTGCTGGAGGGAGTTCTGTGGAACTGCACATGGTGGCTCATGAAGACGAAGGATTGTTCTCTGGTGCCATCGCACAGTGCGTGTTTAGGGGACCCGTGTCCACCCCCAAAGAACAACTGGTAAGCTGACAGCGCTCTTCCAAAAACAGTACACAGGAATCCTCATTGAGCATGCAAATATTAGCCCCTTTTTGATTTCTATTCCTCCTATGCAGGCTGTGGGGACGGGACAACCGCAGCGCAGATGACCTGTTTGAGGAATGTGAGCCGAGAGAGTCATAGATACTCTTGCACATATGGGCATATCAACATCTATGAATGCAATTCACACCACTATTTGATTGCTATCAATGGAGTCTCATCAAGCCCTTCAAGATCTTGGCCAAACCCTTTTTGCATCGTACACATATGACAATTTTGACGTCGATCTCAAAACCAGAGCTTCCACTAGTGAACTTTCTACAGACAGTCTGAAGCACCTCACGTCTGGCCTGTTATTTCCGCTGCAACATGGGGTTTCTCAGGTCGACCTCAAGTGCTCACATGCCCTTTGGAAATAGTGGCACATTAACCCACAGCTTCGTACCAAAGACCTTCCACCCAAGAAAACATTCAAAGATTTACTAACCCTCCATTCACAACCAACAGACATAGCTGGACTTAGCCCACGACAACAGTTCATCGCATGGAAGTTCCTGAGCGACCTCTTGTACTTCGGAGCATTGTATTTTTCAGGTTTCAAATCTCAGCTTGAAGAGCCTTCTGTTATAGAACAAATTCCTCTCATCAAAACACCTGTCATTGCTGCCCGAGTAATGGATGTGAATAACTCAACCGTTTCAGGTAACATCCATGCCGTATCCGAGCATGTAGTCCTATTCCATGGGGATTTGGGCATAGGAGAGCGGCTGCAGGCCATTTAGGAGCGAAGGGCAATTGAGGAGACACCCTAGAACTGTTTTCAACACCTCATTTTTGTACCAGGTCTCTTCCATCTTCAAATGACTTGTGCTGATGCATTATGGCGCACATTCCTGCAATCGGCAACAGCAAGACAAGATGAAATGAGCTTGATGCACAATGTGTCCAAGTTGCGGCCTAGAGAGACAGGTATATATGGCAGTAAGCCAGGGTTTAGGCATATACATCAGCTGGTCAATCACGCTGGAATATGCCACCATCTTGATTGCTGGAGAGTTGAGGTGAAGACTCATAATTCAGCTCATTCTACTCTTGCCCTATTTGCGGCTTCAGCACCATTGTTTGATGAACTCAAGGCTATAGCTGCCTATCTAGCCAAGGCTTGTATTGCCAATCACAAGCTCACCTGACTATGCCAGCATCCTCCAGCATTTTGAGACCAATAATATGAAAATGGGCTACTACTCAATAAATACTTGCTACTCTATGATGAACTGTTGTATGCAATGAACAAGGGGGACATTGCACGCGTTGAAACATGCATTGTGTATTGGATACCCATTTTTAGGGCGACGGGAAAGCACAAGTACACTATGCATATGACCAATTTTTTGGTGGCTGTTCATTTTTCATACCTGACGGTTTAAAGTAAGTGCAGCGGTTTTCTTTGATTGATGCAAGCTAAAGCTATCCCTGTCATGTCCATACTGGAAGACAGAACTCCAGCAGTTCTGAAGGAGTTATGCTCTGGACCCAGAACCCCAGAACTGTCGGTATACTCAGGATTACGTTCCCCGGACCCAAAACCCTCAAACCATTGGTATGCTCGGGATTACTTTCCTCGTGGTCTGCCAATAGGCATAACTCTACGCTCCATTCCCACATGGTACTCCGGTTGACCGCTCCAATACTCCTGCACCAGACTTCTAGTCTGCCACACATTTCTCCTCGCACGTTCTAGTATTCCTCATGGACTCTGTAGTTAGATCTTATGATACACTCCTTGCGCATACATTCTTGCTAAATAATTGTCTGCATGGAACTCTGTACCTACATTATGAGTTACTCCTTACAAGCTCCTGCTCCCCCAACAGTATATAAGCTGTAACTCCTGTACTCCATTGCTTTCTTACCAGTCCTTTTTTAAGTCCTTTCCAATCCTTCTCTGAAGTATCTTTACTCTGCTCCCTTTCTTCCTCTACTTTTCCTCCGTCCACTTCCAACTTCCAACAAGTTAGGGACCAAGGTCTGTGGAAGGGTCTAGCACACAAGCTAAGCCAATTCCCCATCTTGTCCTCTGTACTCTGTTACTCCGTCCTTATACTTTGCAGCTCTGTTACTCCAAAGAGGCCATGGTTCTGACAATCCCAGGCAAGCAGTTTGGTACCATACACTTGTTAACCCTACAGGAAAGCCAGGTAAATTCCGTGGTGTTGACTGGTGTATAGAATTATTCAACTTGTTCATCAAGGCTCAGATTTTACAATTTATCTTGTCTCACTTGATGAGCTCTCACCCATAGGTCATTAATGGAGGTGATGATCCCAATAGAACAGTGTCGAAGATGAGAACTGTTGTTAGAAAAAAACACACACAAAAACAAACTAACACACAATCCTCCCAGATTCCACGGAACTTGTGTATGGGCTTTGCCTCCTAGAACAGTGGAGTGGTCTGGTTGTTCGTTGGGTGGTATGTATGACGATCTTTCAAAGTAAAACCCAGAGATGTATGGGTGTGGGTTTTGAGGAGGAGGGATAGTTGGATGATAAAAGATAGGGGCTTTGTGATGAGTATGAACAAGCACTACCTTGCTGATTGTAGCACAAGGTAGGTTTGAAAACAACAAGATGACAAGGTGACGAGGTTCCCAGTGATAGCAGGTTCCTGACGCACAAACTGTAGTGCTCAGAAAAACTCTAATCAAAAGGGATGGCAGTGACTTTCAAAAATAACAAGTGATGATGACAGCAGATAGCAGTGGTAGCAGTGAGAAGTATTGTGACCACACTGGATCACAAGTAGTAGTGAGTAGTGAACTTGAGATTAGAGAAGAAGTCTGGATTCGAGTTCTTGTTGTTTTTACAAGGTAAAATACAGGGGTTTATATAGTAAAAGAAAAGTAGGCTATGCACAGTATAGCTGTGCAAAAAGAATGAGAAAGAACATGAAGGAAGGAATGTACACTGACAAATCCTGCGTAGGTAGCACAGGATAAGATTGTCAAAAAAAGGAAAAGAAAGGGATAGAACAATGAATGCTGTGAGTAATGTCACAGGTTTGTACAGCCATAAAGTAAAGTCCAATAGCAAAAAGAGAGCAGGAAAATCATGATGTCATAGGAAGATGCAGTAAAAAAAGGGCAAGGCAAAACACTATCAGTATCAACACAGTTCCTTTATTGTCAGTCAGGCATTCTAAAAAATATGTGTCCATAAAAATGATTCAAAAATCAAAAATAATTGCACTGCAAATGAATGTTCTGCTGAAAAAAAAGAAACTGGAGCCACCAGTCCACCACCTAGTCCAAATCCAACAGTTCCATGGCCTTACCAATGGACTGGTTGTGTTGGACCACCTGGTCAAATGAGGGAGGGAGAGGAGTAGTCCCAATTTGGAACAAGTGAGTCCCAGGCAGTGTGTGGTAGGTGTAGCTGTAGCGAAGACAATGGACAAAAGATAAGTGTACCCAAGTGAATGGGACAGCGATGAACATGGGCGACGCAAGGGGATAAACCTTCTCCAGCTCAAAAACTACCCACCCACACTCTAACCAGGCAAGATGAGTGACCGATGTTTTGATAGTATATAATAGTAGATCGACGTCATAAAGATGGACCTGTTGCCCTATTTGAACCGGCCACCGGGGCTTTGCTGATATCAGCAGTGGCACATGGTAGTTATCACAACACAATGGGATCCGCACCTGTGTACAGTGATTCTGGACCTTCTGGGCATGCAACCAATCAGTATGCTTTCCAAGTATGCCTTGGTAGCTTAGTTGGTAAAGCACCAGACCATGAAAGCTGGAGTCCCAGGTTCAAGCCCTGGCCAATGCATGTTTTCTCATACTATAAACAAATGTCATAATTTGTCAGTAGTCAACGGATCGGCAACGGAAGCGGATAGGAAGTGGTGACATCAGAAATGGTGGGGGAGCAAAGAAGACGAGGAGGAGGAGGCTGGAGGTGATGAGGAGGTGAACTAAAATGGGAATCCAGAAACGACCATTGGGTGAGAATAAAAACGAGAGTAAGGGACCCATGGTGGGGCTAGGCAAAGGAAGGGAAGTGAAGGAAACGACAAAAGTGAGGGCACAATGCAATGTGTAGCCAGTGGCGATGCAGAAATTTGCCAAAATGCCGAAATGCGGAAAGTACTGAATGGAAAAGCAAAGGTGAGCGTGACTGGATTGCCTAATAGAGGTGGTGCTGATCAGCCACAAGATTGAAAAAGGCAATATTAATTACTATTCCATGTGCCACTGTGCCTGTGTGGCGCAAAGGCGAGTCTTTTTGAATATTCGCTTTGTTATTGACACCTGTTCATGCTACTAATCAACTTTGGTGCATGACACCGAATCGGTTGAAGTTGGCAGTGTGGGAGTCCTAGTGGCTATGCTAGCTTGAGTGTTCAATTGATGTCAACATGTACAAAGAAAGCAAAGAAGAAGATGAGACTAATATTGATATTAACACAAATAACAGTTTCAGTGATTGCGAAATGCAATACTCAAAAGAATATCTGTTTTTCAAATGAACTTATTATTGTTGGATATACATGGCCTGAAGTGTAACTAGATTCACTCTGTTGGTTTTACATTAATAGTTAATTTCTATCATATCAAATATTGATTCTACATACAGACAAGACTTACTTACAAGTATTCCTACACTGAGTTTTTGGATTCTCAACTATGGAAATCACCTTCCTTTTTAGTATTAAAACTTTGGAATCTTCCATAGATATTTTATGCTCGTTTTAGCTCTTTGACACCTCAGTCTTTTTGTTGCTAAACTGAGGTGAGTATTTACAGTAGACATCATTTTCCATTACTGACAAAATACCTAGACTTATCCTATTAGTGAAGAGAATAAGTCTAATACACTCAAGCAAACATAGATTATTTCACCAAATTTTGGCTTAGTCCCTTCTCATGCTTGGCAGTGAACAACTGTGACCTGCTATTGTGATGTCCACATTTCTCAAGCTCACAAAATTGTTAATAAGTTGAGCTTACATACACAGCTGGTCACGAGTCTAGGCTTGTCCCCCAGCCAAATCACTGGGCTTAATTTTGGTTTTTAGCCAAAATTGCCTTTGAGCAAGCCCAGTGAACAGCTGGGACCACTTGTTGCCATTTTGTGAGGACGCAAAAATCCTCACCAAAGATGAGGTGGGGACTTCATAGGGACTCAAAAGCTATAAAAAATATGTCCCCAAGTTAGTATACAAAAAGCAATTTTGTAACTAGTAGAACACATTATGTACAGGAAATTTTGGGGTTTTTTGCAAACTTCACCAGAAACTCTTGGTGAGAGCGACGACAGCCTCAGCTCAAAATGTTTGAAAAAAAAAAGTCTATTAACAAAATGTAATCTGCTGGTTCCAAAAATGCTTTTATGTATACTAAGTTTTTCACCCTTTTTTTTGACCTCCCAGTCCCTACAACAAAATCCCCACCTCATCTTTGGTGAGAAATTCATCCTCCTCACAAAACAGCAACAAGTGATCCCAGCCTGCTCAAAAAGCACCAAAATTCATATCGGCAAATATGATAAGCGCAAGCTAGCCGAGCAAGTTGGGGACAAGCCTAGTGCAGCAGTCACAAAACTGAAGCAGACTGAGCAGAGAGGATGTATTGTGAGTCTTCTATAAGCAGACCATCAATCTGAAAAGGAGATGTTCCAGAAAAGAAGATCTGCCACGGTTGGCGAAGGTGCAACTGTTGTTCAGGCCTTTAGTCTTGAGCTGTTGGCGATAACAGTTTTTTGATGTACTTTACCTTAGTTATACAATCACATGCTGAAATTTTTGATGTGGAACTGTGATAAGATCAAGAGATTAAGCTCCTATTGAGAGAATCTACTCTCTTAAAGAAACATGGCAGATAGTGCTCATTGCCTTGGTCGTACAATCTCAGTCTTTAATTTTTCCAGTATTCCACCATTCCCTCAGACACCATTATCAACCCCTATCAGCTTAGCTCGTAGCCACTCCGAGTCTCAATCATTGCCCCTATTCTTTCAATCAACTTCCCACCCATTCTTTTACCCATATATACATCCAGCAATCCAAAGACTTGCTCTCGTAGAGTTGAGCTCTATCAATGGAGAACATAAGTGTTATAATGTTCTCCTTCAATTTCCCTGGCCTGGTAGCTTCAATGTACTTGTAAGGACCATTTATTATTTTCTTATCTCCTCACTCTATGTCTTGGTTCTTGAACACTTTTCCTGTTACACCTCTGGCTCTAGGGCTAGAGGTATCTTTTGCGATCCTGCTTCTCATAGCCCTCACAGGCTTTCTTAATCATTGTTACCACTTTGTATCACAGATCAGAGACTGGGTATCGCTCCCAGCCAGCCAGCACAATAGGTAAGGACTGGTGGTAGACATCTCACCAACCAGCTCCAAGCCCCATCAATGCATGGATATACTAATAGACACTTTAGCCAGGATCGTACCTCATCATGAGGATACGGTTCCTGGACATGCGTGACAACACTTATTGTTAGTACACTTTCTTACCTGCTGATTAATCTTCAAAGTCGTACAATAGTTGTCCCTTTTTTTCTTATTGGTTGATTCTCCCCTCAGACCACTTTCCTTTTACTCCCATATCCTCTATCTGCTATATCCACTAGCATCTGTCGATCTTCAAGGCTCATTGTATCTTTTACTCCCTGCAAGTGCAGTTGGAGACAGGTATTGTTTTTGTTATAGTTTATCGTTGTCTCACAGTACTCTTCGCCATCAAGGAAATTGTTATGTGTCTGCTTGATACCATTGGTTTGTGTCAGCTCTTCAAAAATCTCTTGAGTTTTCTGGAGACAGTATCACATATTTTTTGCATGTCCAGGATCTCGATAGAGAGCTTGTAACTGTGATCCTATTGGTATTGTATGAAACTGTTGACAGGGTGTCTTGATTTTTCCTCCACTTGCTTGAAGCTTGACTTGGTTGTATCTTGATTCCCTGCATAATAGACATTTATTGAGGTCCGCAAATGGTCCTGTGTATGCAATACATGTATCAATATACATGTCATGGGGCTATAGATTCAACACCTGTGAGTTCTGCTATCCTATTTTTGACTTGGCATAGCATGGGCAGGCCAATATCTGGGAAAATGTTTTTGAATCACATGGCAAATGTCTGTATAGCTTTTCTCAGAAGAGTTACTGAGGGCCAAATAAAGTTCAACGGCAAGCTTGAGATCAGGATCTTCTATAGATAGCATGGCCTGAGGTGGGTTTTGAAGGTGGTAGAGTGCATTGTCATCAAAACCAGAATGAGGATTGTCAAGAAATGCAGCTTGGAGGAGATTGATGAACTGCATAGCAAGTTTGAGGTTGTCAAGGACAGCACTAACAGTAAGTTGTTGCAAAAGCTGCTCTTTGTGTGATATATGTGGTTGTTTGGGTTTGTTTAGCCCTGGTGATCCTGAGCCTGGTTTATGATTTGGGTGGCCAAGTGGTTTGGATCTGTCACAATTATAATTTACATTTTTTACAATAAAGTAGTAAGCAGACATAGCTCTAAGTCAACCATATTCACATTGCCTTAGTGATGAAGATCATGTTGATTTTGACTAGATCCTAGCTGAGGCTGCCGACTCGATGATGAAACTGGATTAAAGGTATTAGGCCATATTTTTTGAACAGTGACGTACTGTTGATAGGAATAAAAGCCTTTTTGTAGGATTTCTGTGGATTCTCTACAAGAAAGGCAATGTCGACTGTTACAATACACAATTTTGGGATCTTTAAATTTTATTCTCCACCTTAACTTTCTTTTGTAGTTTTCACACACTGTGCTATGCGGCACTTTCCATTCTGTTCACACTCCACTTTCTTGTGCTACACTGTTTTTCTTTACTCTTCAGTACAAGTCTCTCATGCAGGGGAGCTGGTCACACGGGCTGCGCCCTATGACATCATCAAGCCACTGCCTTCATCAACTGTATAGCACACATGTACAAATAGTCTGTAGATGTATATAAACCCCAATAGATCAAGGAGAATCTCCTTAACTGGTATTTTCTCCCACTCCACTTAAGTCCTTTCCCACAATTCATGAATCCCATTTTCATATCCTAAAAGCCTCTTTTTGAGATAACCCCAGAGATGTTTAATAGGGTTTAGGTCAGAAGACTGTGCAGGCCAAACCATAGTGTTGAATGCTTGCTCCTTTAGCCAGTCCTTGACCTTTCTGCAGGTGTGCTTGTGGTCATTATCTTGCTGGAAAATGATGTCAGGAGGATTGAGACCATAAGGCTCCAGGGTTTGCTAGAACTCATCCTTCAAAATCTGTAGGTAAAGGTCCCCATCTATTTTACCACCAACCTTGGTAGCAAATCCAACTCCTTTCCAAGTCATACAGCCTCACATTATTAAGGAACCTCCTCCAAACTTGAGGGTTCCATCTACCAGCCTATCACTAAGCCCCTCACCTGCCTTTTTTCATGCCCATTTGCATCCATCTGACCCTAGGCAATTGATTTTAGTCTCATCAGACCATATTACTCTTTTCTAGTCCTCCAAAGTCCAACCCTTGTGGGCATAGGAAAAATACAAACGAGCTTTGCGTTGCCTAGTAGAGAGAAGGGGGTGTTTGGACTTCACCACAGCGTTCATACCAGATTTCTTCAAATGAGACCAAATAGTATTGGATAAGAGGGGCTGGTTGATGATGCTGGTAAGGGCTTTGGTCACTTCAACAGCATTTTCAGCTTTGCCAGAGGTAATAAGATGTTGGGCATGTCGGATATTGGTGGGTGAAAGCTTGGAAGGACGACCTCCAATAGCTTTAGGTAGGGTAGAATGCTCTTTGGAGCAAAGTTTGGATGTAGTAGAAGGGCTAACACCAGTCTGCTTGGCAATGGCTTCACCAGAGTAGCCAGCATCAAGCAATGAAAGGATGGAGCTTTTTTGAGTAAGCAAGAGGGATCTGACCATGATGGTGGTTGAGAATCAAGAAGTGTGTGAACTTTTTTGAGCTCAGACATACTATTTGTATATATATCTTTGTTTGTACCAACACATAATGGCAAACATTCAATGTTTTAACTAAGATTCTAGTCATCAGCTCAAAAGTGAAAAAGCCCTTTCCATGGTGTTGCTGTTTTAAGTTAACTGTATCTCTATAGTATGTGAACCAGATCACATGACCTATGGGGCAATTTTATAGCCAAGAGTATGTACTATTTATAATTCCACCAAAGCTAAGTGTAATACTCAAGCTGTTTGATGGTATGCTTCATGCATAACACACAGCATAAACATGGAAAAGGTTTTTGGAGTCACTGTATATCCAAAGATACTGATCTTGATCACACACTGATAGCCTCTGATGCCAGGCACATTTGTTATTTTAATTGACCACATACCAATATACTTTACAGATTGATTGACTATGAGAATGTTAGTTTTGGTGATTCTGCACCTAGTTGTGCTATCTATTTTCCCTTCTTTCTAAATCACTTTCCTCTTTATTCTTTTTGCTGTATTGTTCAGTATTCACTGAGCATTCTATAATTTCGCCTTTGTGGCTGATTTGTTTACCTTTATTTACAAAACTTCGGACTAGTATTGCAGAGTCCAGTATTCCTATTCTTTAGTTACTCATACTGGACTCTAGGTACTGTACACATTCTGTACTCTCTGATAATATAGTTACTCATACTGGACTCTAGTTCTGTCCCTGTTAGCTCTCAGCAAGTGGC